AGCACAGATGTTTCGGATACTAATCAGTTGCTGATATTTGTTCGTGCAATTAAGGAAGATTTTACAATTTTCGAAGAGTTGTTAAAAGTGTGCTCTTTACACAGCACAACTAGAGGTGTCGATATTTTTAACGCTGTTAAGAGTGCAGTGGAGGAATTCGGTGGTTTTGAAAAATTGTCCTCCATAGTAACAGATGGCGCTAAATCAATGACAGGGACAATAAGCGGTTTTGTTGGATTTTTAAGACAGAATCAAATTACTGTACCTACCTTGCATTGTATTATACATCAGGAGGCTCTATGTGCCAAATCAATTAAACTGTCTACCACCATGGCTACTGTCACAAAAATTACTAATTTGATCAGAGGAGGAAATCGATCACTCACTCACAGAAAATTTCTGACCCTCTTGGAAGAAATGGATTCTGCTTACGGGGACCTGCTTCTGCACACTGAAGTAAGATGGTTAAGCCGTGGGAAATGTCTGGTACGGTTCTTTGAACTCCGTCATGAAATAGCAACATTCCTAAGAGAAGAGGTTACGAATTCTGCTGAACTGCAGAATGATCTCGAAGACGTCGAATTCTTGAGAAACTTGGCCTTTCTCACTGATATCACTCAACACTTGAATGTCCTGAATCTGCAATTGCAAGGCAAGAAGCAGACAATATGTCAGATGGTTGGCTTTGTTGACAGTTTCCGTAAAAAGCTACATTTATTTAAGTCTGCATTGGACAAAAATAACCTTCTACATTTCCCTTGCTGTCGGAAACTCTCAGAAGAAGAAGAAGGCTTGGAGTTTAGGGACTACACTGAAATTATTGAAGATTTGTCTTCAGAGTTCGACCGACGATTTAACGATTTTGAAAGCTTTCGACCTGATATTTCTTTATTCAGTAATCCTATACATTGTGATATAGAATCTCAGCCAGGTCATCTGCAATTAGAGCTTTGTGAACTTCAATGTGACCCATCCTTAAACACATCTCAGGTTACTGGAATTGACTTTAGGAAACTGCTTTCACCAGAACGTTACCCAGTGTTAAGAAATTGGGCTCTCAAACTTTGCTCTGTTTTTGCAAGTACTTACATATGCGAGACAGCGTTTTCATCGCTGAAGCATGTAAAGTCTAAGAACAGGAACAGACTTTCAGATGTCGTGTTATCACATATTCTTCGAGTGGCAACCTCACAATTAGAAGTGGATTTTATATCATTGGTTTCCAGTTTTATGAAACCACAGTGCTCTCATTAAAACAGTGTGTATATGAGGATTTAGGTATAATCATTAGACCATAAAAACTATGATTGAAAGTCTTTTGTGCTCATCCCTGCTGAAAGAGGAATTTGTGCTGTTTTATGGTAAGTAATTGCAAATTTCAAGGCACTTTATCTTTCTTTCTTAAATTATAATTGCATTTTCCCCCGGCATATATAAAACTAAACATAAGACATGATCTGGCCAGTGTTTCTTTAAGAAAAAATGCTCTGGGGGTAGAAGTGATAGAAGGCAATAAAATCGATTGGTGAAATTTTCAATATCGGCTTAATATTATTGGTGCAACGTAAAATTTAAATACATAGGTTTAAATGCACTGTTTTTATACGGGTTGTGACTGATTCAGTTTGGGGGGCAATACTCCCAGACCAATCTTCTGAAAGAAACACCGTATCTGGCCCCTGATGGTGTTCTATAAACTAAATTTGGCCCTCGAGATGTATTAGGTTGGCCAACGCTGATATAGGATATTGGTGGGAAGGCCAGAAGTAAAGAGACCATAGGGAAGACCAAGGCGTAGGTGGGTGGACAATATTAAAATGGATCTTAGAGAGATAGGATGGGATGGTATGGATTGGATAAATCTGGCTCAGGATAGGGAGTCCAGTGGAAGGCTCTTGTGAACACGGGGATGAACCTTCGGGTTCCACAAAATGCTGGGAAATTCTTGAGTAGCTGCATAATTTGCGGCTCCTCAAGAAGGGCTCAGCTCCGTGAGTGAGTGAGTGAGTGAGTGAGTGAGTGAGTGGGTGGGTGAGTGAGTGAGTGTGAGTGAGTGAGTGAGTGAGTGAGAGTGGATATAACTTATCCATTTCTTTTGATATGAAGCTGAAATATCGTTATTAAATTATGCTTCCAGTTTTCTGAACTTGAATAAGTACTCATATTAATCGAAGCTTATTGTTGAACCTTTCACATTCCCATCAATTTCAGTAAAAGCATCATAACATTTTGTAAATGTTTATATTATATTTTATAGTATGACTTTATTAGCCTGTTGGATGGAATATCAAACATAATTATTTCACAGTACTATCCTGATACTACTATTTACACAAAAACAAAAAACACATAATTTCAAAATTAATTTCAGTCCTCAACATACAGTGAAATTCCAATTTAGCATTCACGAATTTACTGAAATCCTGTACTAAACAAACATTTGTTCTTGTCCCATTAGAAATCCAATATAAATGATTTATTATTTTCTCACATTTAACATATGTAATGAATTTCAATTTAGTGTAAGAAATCTTCAACTTTCCAAATTTCTATCTTGATTTAGTGCAATTGTGGTCACTAATTGCTATTCACACTTTATCTCTGCTGGAAATCATACCCACACAATCACTGCATTTATTTCTCATAAAGTTGTTTCTGTGCTTAACTAATTACACACTACACCATATGGGGGAGTGAATATATACATCATATTTATTTTACCTCGGCACTAGCTAAAAGTGAGTGGTCACCTTCACACCCTGGCCACTTTATCCCCAGGGAATGAGCCCATGGTACCCGTTGAATAGGAGGTTGGTGCACCCCAGAGCAAGTCTGTATGACATGGAGAACAGAAAATTCTTGGCCCTGCCAGGACTTAAACTTCAACCCCTCAGTTGTCCTGCCTGTAGCTAGTTATTATACTGACTACACTATCCCAGCTCAGTATTCATTTCACATATCACTAATTATTTTAAAAATTAATTTGTTGTTAATGATTATATTAATTGCACTTATCTCTGCAGAAGCATTTTAACTACATTTGTAAAGAAATTATTTTACCATAATCATATTAAGAAAGTCTGTAAGATGATGTATCATGATGTAATTCTTCATTTAGTGACATTCAAGTTAAAGTTAAAAAAAAGGTATACTTCTCCCTGTGATTGACTAATTAACCTTTATCGGACGAACGTCATCATATGATGTCGTTAAAAGTAAGGGCAGCTGGCCGAACGTCATCATATGATGTCGCGGATTCCACGCGTGTAAGGTTTTTTTTTAATATTATATTAAAAATATAAATTGTTGTTCTATTTACATGATTTTTGGTCACCACCTTTATAAGGAGACAGTCTTCCTTCCTGCATGATCTAATGTAATCTAGCGATGTCATATGACGTTAAAAGTAAAAACAAATTGAAGAACGACATCATATGATGTCGCGCATTCCACGCGTGTAAAGATTTTTTTAAAATTAAATTTAAAATATAAATTGTTGTTCTATTTACATAATTTTTGGTCACAACCTTTATAAGGTGACAGCCTTCCCTCCTGCGTGATCAACTGTAATCTACCGACGTCATATGGGCGAACGACCTCATATGATTTCGCACACTGTACGCGTGTAAAGATTTTTTTTAAATTAAATTTAAAATTAAATTTTTGCTCTACTTATGTAATATATGTTCACCATCTTCATGAGGAAACAGCCTTCCCTCCTGCGTCATCTATGGTAATGTGGCCTTCATATGATACTGCCGAAAACATTCCGAAATGCAGAGTCCGACGTCGCAGCTCACGCACTTCGTACGAACGCT